GTGCTGGTCAGTGCTAATTATGCAAATTGCAGACAAACCTCTGAGGCAGTTCTCTTTTGGCTGTTAGCAGGGATTTTTTCACCATCATCTGCTTGCAGTTCCTCTTTGACTTCACTCTTATCACTGAAAATAAAATGTATAACAATACTCTTGCACGTATAAAGAGATAAAGTCACAATCAACCAACAACACAGAAATACTTACTTGTTCTCAAAGAAGTACTTTATTGTCGGAATCACCCTTGGAATGGGAATCTGCAAGAGTAAATTGAAAAGAAAAATCTGGATCACAAATTAGCGCTTGGCTGTAACATAAAGAGACACAGCACTCTTTTTCTGATTTTACCCTGTTCCCAGGCCACCATGTATTTCGACACGGTCCATTCGTTTCGGGTCACATGGTGCGCCCTGGTAAAGTCACCGAAACGAATCACCGCCACTAAAGATTGTTACCTTTGTTTGTTTAAATTCCTTTTAAAACCCAAGAAATTCGAAATACCTTCAATGGTGGATTAGCTGCAGCAGGTTCTTTTGTTATTCTGTGGTTTGATTTCTACATTGAAAGAGCGGCACAGAATCCGCATTAGTACTCGATATAAACGTACGTATTCACCATCCCTGAGCGGACAGCATTACCACGGGAAGCACACGTTTATATCGACTATGCACTGCACTATGCTCGACTATGCACTGTGATAACGGAAAATCAATCAACTTTTTAATTACCTACTTAAAACCCTAAAAACTCGATTCAAAGACGCTTCACTAAACTGTTTTATTCAGTCTACTTCCTTGCATCCTTATGCTCTTCTTACGAGAGAGAAGAGGACGAGTGAGTAATCCACTCTACTTCCAGAGACAAAGACTGTCCTGTCAGAAATCTGTCCAAGAACCGCTTGCGAAAGACATCCACGCTGCTTTTGGGAAGTGTTTGCTTGAGGAAGTTTTGAAAACTGAATGCCTTGGACTGAGGGTGATGTAGACGTAATTTCCCTGAGAGATGTAGTGTCTTAGCTTAATAATGAGCTTAGTTGACTGTATGAAAAACAGCACTGTCACGCATGAAGCGAAGGATCTCGATGAAGCAACATTCCTCTCCTCCGCAGAAGTGAGTGCAGGCGCAAACTCGAGCGGTAGAAGTTCGTTATAGAAAGCTGTTGTGCGAGGTGATTGTAGGCGCAGAGTCGAATGGATCGATCGGGCGGCGAACTTCCCTCCCGCGCCTTCCACCGTCACCCTCCACGTAACCATGCCCTACACTCGTATCGTTTAGCGGATTCTCCCCACCCCAAAAAACCCTTTTGAGCCTATGCGGAGGAGAGAGGAAACATTCCATAACATATGTCAAATTATTTAACAAACTCAAAACTTGTCAAAGACCTACCACCAGCTGTAATGCAGATACAAATGGGGTGAATTCCTTGGTATTAGCTTCCTCTGTTTCCTGGATAAGTAGACAGTAATAGAGAACACTCAGAGAGCGTGACAAGGTTAAGAGTTCGGAAATCAAAAGTTCGATTAGGCTCGATTGTCCAATTTCTTTCTTTTTTTTT